AAAAAAAAAAAAAAAACCACAAAAAAAAAAAAAAAAAAAAAATATATATATATATATATAAAGAATTATTCAATGAATGCATAAATCAGTAGATCAGCAAATTGATGTTTCTCTCTCCCTCCCCCCTTCCTGTCTCTGAAATCAACCAACCAATAAAATTTATTTTTTAAAAACCCTGTAGGGAATTGGAACTTACTAGAATTTATAGATACATGTGAAATTACTGTCTTTCTTAAAATCTCACTATTTATTTAGGCGTATTTCATATTTTTTAGGTTTTATTATTTTCTCTAAAGATCTTTTGTGTATATTAGCATTTGTTGGTGTTGTGAATAGTTGTTTGTTGTTGTTTTTTAAGGAGTACTTTTTACTTGTGGTCATGCAGACACTATTAGGTTTTATATGTTTACTTGGCAACATTGCTGAATTCTTGATTATATGTCTTACGTTAAAGTAGAAAATATTTTTATTTTCTGAGAAATCAAAGCAATCTCAGAGACATTGTGTGCCACAGGATCAGGATACTAGAAGGCAGCTTCAATTAGTTACTTTGGGGAGTATTTATATGTGAAGAATTTTATCCTTGTGTGTCCTGTCACAGACAGGGAGGCAGACAGACAAAATCTTCCATTTTTCTTGGCAATAGAGTTGGTCTTTGTTAAAAACCTCCCACCCCCATTTAGTATAAATGTCCCGTATGCGCACACACACGGAAGAGACACAGCAAAAGAACCTCTTGTGACCGTAGAGGTAGAGACTGTAGTGATTCATCTACAAGCTAAGGAACACCAATGATTTCCAACACCAGAAGCTAAGAGAAAGGCACAGGACAGATCCTTCAGAAGGAGCATGGCACTGCCAACACTTTAATTTCAGTCTTCCAGCTTCTATAACAGTGAGAAAATACATTTCTGTTGTTTTAAGTCTCCCAATTTGGGATACCTTGTTATGGCAACCCTGGGGAGATAATACAGACTCCATAAAAAAGAAAACATTGGCTCAGAAAAAACAACCCAAGAACAAATGAAATGATTGAGTTCTACCAATGGTGGATGAAAAGATTGGCAAATCCTCTCCCCCCAAAACAGCTATAAAGCTGTACAAAATGCTTATGGCAAAACAGTTATTTCAGAGCTTTGGGATAGACTAAAGGCATACAACAAATTGTGGAGCATTTATTTCGTAAAAATTGCTGAACTTTGGATAAGAAGAGTAGTAGTCTAGTTTGCTTTAACATGATAGCCTGCAGCCATTATCATTCTAAAAGTTCTCATTAAAAAAAAAAAAAGTATACAAATGATACATGAAGATACTCTCATTGCAAAATAACAAAATGCATCAAATGAAACTCCACATTGATTCTCTTATCCTTCAATCTCATCTCTCCCCTTTGGCATTACTGTAGCTATATAGAAACAAATAATTTGGTTTTGTGATTGTTTTGATATTTAAGTAAAGTCATATTGTATTTTTTTTAAAAATGTTGCTACTCTTGGATTTCACTCAGTTTATTTCCTTTTAGGAGGCGCAGGTCAGAATGGAGATGGGCTGCAGACCGAGCAGCTATTGTCAGCCGCTGGAACTGGCTTCAGGCTCATGTTTCCGACTTGGAATATCGAATTCGGCAGCAAACAGATATTTACAAACAGATACGTGCTAATAAGGTAAGGGATAAGTGTCTGGTCTTTTTCAACCCAGCTAAAAACTACCATTATCCCTTTTCTCCTATCCCTCAATAACTTAACTATGTCAAAGAGAATGGTTTAATATGATCTGATATAGTGGTTTAATGTGTTTAAGAGCCTGATGTTGCCTAATGGAGTGCAGATAACACTGCTAGAATATAATGTTAAATTGAACATCTGTTTAGAACAAAACAGTTTGTATACCTGGGCTAACAGGAAACATAAGAAAAAAGCTGAATAATGTATGCCATTGACTAACTCATTTATTTATAGAAAAGTGGTGATGACTAAGGATTTTTCATCTTGCTTTTTACATAGACATCTCTGTTTTACCTAGTAACCAAGCTCCCTTGCTTTCTTGAGGCAAAACAGGTTTTTTCCTGAAAGATTGTTCAGGCAAAATTTAACATTGATGATTAAGATTTTGATTTTCTTGTGTCCTCATATCTTCAGAGAGCTGATTTTTACTACACAGCTTTTATCTTTGACCATAACATTGTATAGTTTTTCCTCTTAAAAATCAACTTAGAAGAGACCTCTGTTCAGTTCAGGTTTGACTGAGGGATAATGTGCATGGAAGAAAAATCCATTCAACAGATGGTTGAGTGTCTGCTGTGTACCAAGCACTGTTCTCCTTAGCGACGTCACAGTGATAAATAAAAATCCTACTTCTGTGAAGCTTACATTCTTGCAGGGTATTTTTTGTATTAGGTTGATGCACTTGGGCTTCATGACTGGGCACATGGGTCTAGATGAAGCGCTTACTGCTCCTAAAATTAAGTGCCACAACACGTTTTTGTCATGCCTTAGTGCTGATCAAAGCCTTCAGAAAAGTGCTGTGAACTCTGCATTAAATTAATTAGCAGGCCAAAAGTTATAGGATGACCAGTTGACAAGGTGGACAGAACGATGAGAGTTTGAAGTAAAAGTTTTGTAGCTCCCCCCCACCCATAAGCTTTTATTTCAAAAATTCCATTTCTTCCAAATTCTTTCCAAAATGGTCTATATGTAATTCTCCAAAAGTTCAGTAGAGCATGTTAGAATTGAGGGCAAAGTCCAGAGGACTTAACCTTTTTTTCAAAAAACCTTTTGTTCCCTTAGAATAAGGAACAAATTAAATCCCAACTACTTTAAAAATTACCAAGAGCACATGAAGGGTTAAAGCTAAAAATATTCACCAAGGGTGGCGAATATTTTGCTTCCTTTTGCTCTTTACAAGGGAAATTCGGTGATATTTGTACAGTGTGAGCTGGAATGGTGATAGGAATAGGCAGGAGATGACTGGATATCCTGAGTGAAAAAAGTCTTGCTCTTTCAGGGACCCCCTCTTCAGTGTCTGTTTCTAGGTTGTTATAGCCAGTAGTTAAAGCAGGAATATTTACATATTTGAGAACAAGAGTCTTAGTAATACCCGAGATTAGTACAATGATAGTTATATTTGTTGCTTTTTATATACATTCATAAATGTATGTGTATGTGTTTTGTTAGTTCCCCGTTATAAAATTACATTTCATAGACTTGAAGATAGTGCCGATTGTAAGATGCACCATTATTTTACGTGCCACTAAGAAATGATTTCAGTTAAACTAAGACATGCCATCAATTGTTACAGTGCATTCTGATTTAAAAGATGTTGAGATGTGAAGAAGTGTGCCTTAGAATTGATGAAAAACGGTGTTATCAATTCTTAGGAAACTTGGAAAATACAGGGAAGTATAAAAGAGGAAGGGAGGAAAACACCTTTCTCTTTTAAGTTTTTAAAGCCAGAATTTATTTCTATTTTAAAATGCTCAAGAGACTATAAAAAGGCCCAAAGGCTTCCAGGCTTAATACAAGATCACACTGAGGTGGTATCTGTCAGTTTCTTCATTACTAAGGCATCAGCTTGATTCTTGTTAATGAAACACACCGATAATTCTTCTAGTTGTGTCATGGTGATTTCCTCTGACTCCCGGTATTTTTCATAAGTGGCCATCAGTTCACAAACGATGAAAAATGTAATGCCAGAAATAACCACGAAATGTCTGCAGATTCTACTTGAATATCCTTTCTACATTATTCTTTGAAACCAGTTCCAATGATTATCAGTTTGAGTAGTGGGGAGAGCATGATGTGTGTCATCTGCAAAGACTGGTATTAAATGCAGTTCTTTGAGAACAGAAACCAGGGAAACACCCTTGAAGACAAAACCCTTTCTCTCAGTTTTGCTGTGAACCTAAGACTATTCTAAAAAAAATAGTCTTTTAAAAAAAATACCCAAGAAACAAAACTCAAACTCAACATTTGGGCATATTTTCTTCCACTATTATTTTTCTATGCATATAAATAATTTCTTTAAACATAGTCATGTTACATGAGGATCCTGGACATTTTCTATCTTTTTTTTTTTTTTAAACATTTTTACTGGCTATATTTTACTACCTTTCTTGTTTGATTATTTCAGTTATGTGCTTTATTAAAATTATACAGGCATACCTCAGAGGTATCGCAGGTTCGGTTCCAAAACACCTCAGTAAAGTGGAGGGGCATACCTCAGAGGTATCGCAGGTTCGGTTCCAAAACACCTCAGTAAAGTGGAGGGTCTTCTTGCCTTCACTTTGTAAAAACCGCAGCATGTGTGAACTACAATAAAATGAGGTATGCCTGTATTATAAAGCATGCCTTAATAAACATCCTCACCTAAGTCACAGCATGAATACTTTTATGTTCTTGATGCATACTTGAGAGAAGTTTTTTAACAGTATGCCTCAGTTTACAGTCTCAATAGCTGTGTGAGAAGATAGTTTTACTTCATTTTTGGTTCCTGCTTTATTCTTTAACTTGTAACTCAGTGGTAATGGCAGAGCAGTTTCAGGATACTTTGAAAAGTCTTAGATAGTTCTAAATATCTGGAAAGTAGTTATTCTGGAATTTTGTGTATATATTGATTATCCAAGAGTTTTGTCATGCAGGACATAATGTATTAAAGAAGTACCAGACTTGGACTTTGTAATCTTTGGTTCTAGTCCTTGCTTTGCTACTATATAGCTATATAACCCTGGAAAGAAGTTACCAAACATTTCTGAGTCTCATAGGCTTTCTAGATTTTAATACATTTCCTTTGTCCTGCAGTCTGAGTATACAATGTCTGTTACAAAATTCTGACTGGAAAAGTAAAAGTAGAATGGTAATCCCAATATATGGAGAAAATTCACAACTTTATTAAATACTTATATTTATACAATGTCTATTTATACAAATGTACTCGTTTCCTGGGGCTGCCTTGATGTTCCTTGGTTTATAGCTGCATCGTTCCAATTTCTGCTTCCATCTTAACATGACCATATTCTCTCTGCCTCTGTCTCCAAATTTCCCTCTTACAAGTCCAACCAGTCATGTTGGGATTTAGAGCCCCCACTAAAGGGCTCTTGATTACATCTGCAGAGACCCTGTTTCCAAATAAGGTCACATTCATTCATAGGTTCTGGGTAACATAAGTTTTGAGGAGATAAACTATTCCACCCAGTATAACAAATAAGCAATGGAATTTTCCCCAAAGATATATTATTACGCATTTGGTCTTCATGTATCACTATAATAATACATAGAAGTCTGATACATTTACTATGCATTGAAGATAAACAAGTGGAGAGTCAAAGAGTAGTTTCTTCATGGTCATACAGCCAAGTGAGTACAGAGCCGAGATTTGAGTATCTCTCTCTATTGTTAAAGTTAGCAGTTTCTTTAAGTGCTTGACTATTTGAGTTATAGAAACAGGTGGTTTTTAACCATTTGTATTTTAGTAAAGTGGATTGGTGTTCTCAATTCCCATTCTGCTCCAAGGTTTTCCAGAGTTGCCTGGGTTGTGCAGTTTTTTCATGAGATGACTTTAGGTTTGGCTGTAAATAAATTGTCTTTGGACAGGGATTGGAGGCTAAGGCTTTCATTTTCTTTTTTAGGATTACTCTCTTGAATATTAAGGTAAGTTTTCTTGAAGGGATGTATTCCAAAAAAGAAAAGTATTTGAGAACTGCTAGGTGATTACCAATTTTTGTTCTGTCAAAAGTTTGGTACTATCTTCCAGGCTAAGTGTATGTACCTGTATAACAGCACACACGCTTAGCTTGTATGTTGTTTAATGCACAGAATAAATCTGACAACTCAAAAGGCTTGTAAGAGTCAGAGCTAAATTTGAACTCAGGGCTATTTATCTGACTCCAAAGCATTTTTTGTCTAACACACAGTACTCTTGTATCCTTTTCATCATTTCTCTCTAGCATATTTATTTGAAATTTTACAGCTGGTAAATAAAACTGAGGGGGAAAGCACAAGGGGGACCAAGCGGGATCTGTTACTTGAAACTTTTTTCTCTTAGCGTACAGTCTTCATCTGTGTCTAGTACAAAACATCATATCCTCCTTTTTAATCCTATTTTTATCCCTTCTTCTGACCTGTGTAATGACACAGCAATTGCTAACTAGTGATGGAAATAGTAGGAATGAGAGGAGAAAGAGCATTGGAGCTTCTGGGTAGAAAAGGAGCAGAATGGGAATAGCAAAAGCCTAGAAGACCTTTGTCTTCAAAATTGATGTAAAGTTCCCATCTTGATAGAGTTATAAGGTGTTGTATACAGCTGTTTTCTCTAGGTAGCCCAGGATGGTCCTTGTGGAATTGGTCTACAGTGAGGTCACTGACCATCTTAAGATGAGTAGGGAGGATTGACCTCACAATGAAATGGAGCGAATGTGTGAAATTTCATCTTAGTTCTATATTACAAATTAAGGGATGATTTTTAAAAAATTTTTTATATTGTACTTTGACTCCATACATTATCTGAAATTGGTAAAGGGGAAGCAGTAAACCCATGTATACAACTTAGTTTTTTTCTTTTGCTTCCTTTTTGCTTAATTTGGCCTTGTTTTCGTAATCAAGCTTAGCATAATTCCTTTCTACCATTTCTTCTGTTTTCAGTTTTGGTTCATTCCCCCCCCCCCCTTTTTTTTTTTTACTTATGTAGGACAGCTTTGTGTTTTCACAGAGGAATAATTTATTAGGGATATATTATGACTACATGTAACTGTGACCCATCCCAGTTCCATTGGTCTTTATGTAGGAGTTTTCTAGGCCTGGGCAGCCCAGGCATGATCCTGGTTACAGTTCAGGGAGTGTTGGTGAAGGGTGGGGAGACTCTCCGAGACTTTTTACCTTGGCCTGTTCTAGTTACTGTTTATTTTAGAGTACAGTAGCCCAGAAGTTATTGCCACTCAGGACTGATGCCATAGCCATGCAGAACTGACCCAGTGTAAACCCAGAATGCTGGAGAAACCCAGCTTGAGGTTGCTATGATAGGTGTGGAGCAGAACTTTGTGAAGTTCTCTTTGCTAATAATAACCTTTGCTTTCATGGCTATTAACTATATTGAGTGTATTTTAGGGAATTTTAAGTAATCATATAGACCTCTTCTGTAAAGTGCTACTTTCATCAGTCTCTTCACTTAGGCTCTACTTTTCTTAAGGTTTCATATCATGCAGCACATGGTAGACAACAAATGTCACCTGAATGAACTAATTTTAGTTATTTAAATGCTTTTTGTTTGCTCATCCTCTTTTTAGTTGCTTCCATCCTTTTTGGTGTGAGGTAGAGTATAAGGGATTTATTCGGTTTTGTATGCTATAGTGAACTTTCATATTGGGGGGGGCAACAATGTATAGACCAGTGTTAGCTCCATCAGTGTAGCAATTGAGCACATATTTGCAAAAATAGATTTGATTAAAACTAATGGGCATTGAAAAGACCTGAACAGATCAATTTTGTTTTTGTTTGTTTGTTTTTCATAGTAAGCTAACGTCTGCTTTTACCAAGTTGGGCCCATGCTGATTATGGAGAGGATTTTGGAGTCATGTAAATTTCTTTTCACGTTTTGTTTTTGTTTTTGTTTTTTTAATTTTCTGGATGAATGTAAGATCTGAATTTGAATTGTCAAGCAGGAAACAAATCTGGGGTAATGCTTATGAGAAACAGGTGCCTTTGGAATACTTTTGTTTTTTCTTTTTAAAATAGTTGTTGGTTTCTGATATATTGTAGAAACTCTGAACCTTTGTTTCATCCAGTAGTTTTGGTTGCTTATCATTTATTTTAGCTTATTATTTGTAATTGTAGCACTTCAGTTTGGTCATCCTTAAGCCACATTTTTGATCAAGTAAACTAAAAAGGCTGCACTGCTGCTGTTAATATAGTATAGTCTGGTTGGTAATATTGTGTAAAATACCATACACTGTGATAAAGATTACAGATCTAAAAGATGCTAATGGTGCCCGGCCGGGCGTGGCTCAGCAGTTGAGCATCGACCTGGGATCCAGGCTATCAGGGTTCAATCCCCAGTCAGGGGCATGCAGGAGGCAGCTGATCAATGACTCTTTCAGCATTGATGTTTCTATCTCTTTCTCTCCCTCTCCTTTCCTCTCTCTGAAATCAATAAAGATATATTTAAAAGATGCTAAGTGGTAATAAGCCATGTAGGTCAAAACATTCAAATAGAAGAAAGGGGAAGCTTGGTTGGGTCTGATTCTCAGACCTTACTCATGGCTATTGCTAGGCTTTTTGTTGAAATAACTCTTGGGAAAGCATAGCATGAGGGAAAAGGCATCTGGCAAACCAGTCCCCTTCCCTTAACTCTTTTTATATTAACTTCTAAATTAAATTTGTAACTTTTAATACCACTCACTTGTGCTGTGTTTCTCTGTGTCTCCTAGGGGTTGATAGTTCTTGGAGAGGCGTCTCCTCCAGAGCATACAACAGCAGACTTATTTCTTCCACTTAGTTCTGAGGTCAAGACAGATCATGGGAGTGATAAATTGGTAAGTATAAACACAGAAAAGGGGAAATGAATGTGAATTCGGGGTATAGCGTGAGCACACAGTTTATTCTCTGTTAGAAGGATCCTTGCATTGGCTAGAAGAAGGGTACTGTATCGCCTTTTATCCTTTTGGCATTTAAAGATCTGAATTCCTGAATAGGGCAGTACACGGTTCCTCCTGCAGCTGTGTAGCTGGCTTTAAGCATTCAAAAGCAGCTCCTAGCTCTCAAGGCAATACAGCATTGTGGCCTTATGAGTGTAACTGGAAATCAGAAGAACATGTGGCTCTGGCGCCTTTGACAAGTAAGGTAACCTTTTTGGGCCACTATAAAGTCAAAGGTTCGACTAGAGGTTTAACTCACAGAGATTCTGAAAACGCTCTCTTTGAGTTACCCCCTTTAATTCTGTAATGAGGATAATGCTGTAATTTTCTGTAATTTTCTGGGTTCTATTTCTCTCAGCAACAAGATTAATTTCTTTTCCTTCTGAGTTCCAAAAGCACTTTTTGTTTCTTTCACTTTTTTACTTTCCCCAGAAGGTCACTGGCTTTTGTGATTATTTGCATTTCTTAATTTAAGTAATTTGTTAGAAATTCCAAAATCCCATAACAATTGTTTGAGAGGCTAGTAAGCAGTGCTGGCTCTCCAAATGTGGGTCTTCTTGCATCTGCAAATCAGCAAAGCTTGTTGTCCTTTATCATTATCATTTTTAGCAGGAACCTATATGATATGGTGGAAACCAACTTATCTAATGAGAGTGCTTCAAGAAAGCCAGCCACTGATGCTAGGGGTAAATGTGAAGACATTAAGAGATTGATAAGTTAAAGAGCAGAAGTCATTTGCAGCTGTTCTGCTGATTGCTCTAACCAGAATAAAATTTGTTACAAGTGTGAGAGAACACATTAGTAAGTTGGAAGGTTAGCTGGTGGTATGACCTTTGCAGGAAACATGAGACTTGAAGCATGTGTGATTGGGAGTAAGTTTTATGTAGATATTTATATGTGTACAGTATTTAAGGATTCCAAGATTTTTCTGGTAATCTCCTGTACTCAACACTTGTGGAGGATAGGACATAACAGTCTCATTGTGTTGTTCATTCTCACTGTTATATTTATACACATTCACATGTGTGCACATGTGCTCCACTTACGGATTTGCCCCTTTCCCTACCCACCATTCACTTGTATGTGTTTAACCCATATTAGATTGTAAAATTCTTGAAGATCAAGACCATCTTCTTCATTCCTCATAGTGTTGACCATAGTAGTTTCTACATTGTACAGTAGATTGCTCTTTTGATTCAATAAAATTGATATGTATGAAAACAAGTATATATTGTTACTCTGTCTTTAAAGAGAGGTTTAATCTTCAGAAAGTCTTTCTGAAGGAAACAAAGGCAGACAAAGTAGTATGTTTCCATTGTTTATTGCAGTGATTTTCACCTGGTGTGCCCCAAGAATTTTTTTTTTAATACCCAAGGATATATTCATTGATTTTAGAGAGAGGAGGGAAGAGAGAGAAACAATGATTGGTTGCCTCCTGTGAATGCTCCCTGACTGGGAATCAAACTGGCAACTTTTTGGTGTATGGGACACACTCCAACCAACTAAGCCTCGGCCGATGTTCTTAACCACTTAGCCAAACTGGCTAGGGCTATAGTTCACTCTTGATATTGAATTTCCATAATACATCTGCCCTCAAGGGTCCTGGGTAAGAAGAGTGTAGCTGTGTTCCTATCTCTTTGGGTTGTTTGTAATTAACTATTGAAGAAGTGTAATGTGCTTATAACAGTGTTTGGTCCACAATAGATACTTGGTAAAATCTCGTTGATACTGTTTCAGACTATACTGTGAGTCTAGGTAACATCTATCAGCAGAACCCAGGTATCTTCCCTTGAGGACTTGGGCATCTTCCAACGGGCATACATAGGAAAGTTTAGAGGGAAGACTTCTCAGTTCTTTTAATAGAGGGGTCAGGAAAGGTATCTTCATGGGGAAGGATGTACTTAAGCTGAATCCACTGAATTTGTTGAAGGCTGGAGTGGGGAGTGAGTTTCAGCAAGGACGGTATTGCATGTAAAATGTAAAAAAACAACGAACTTTAGAGAGCCTGGCATTATCGAGGAACTGCCTGCGAGGTTTCTCCACTGTGGAGTTAGTATTTTTCCCTTTGTAATGAATGACTATCGTGGGGAGATCCTGTGTAATAATCTATTGCTTGTTATACTTTAATCCACAATTTTATCATCCACTGGAGGCTTTTGCCTGCAACCATTGTTAACTGTCCTGTTTACTAAATGGTGATTTTCTATTTTCTACATTTGTTAATTGTAATTCTGTTAGGAAGAGCTGTCTTTTCTCCCTTGTTTATGTAGTCATTCAGTTTACATCAGAATGGATTCATGGGTTTTTATTTTATGAGTTATAATCTATTACTATTATTCATTCAGTTCTAGTTGCCCTCAGATTTTGACATCAGGACCTCCTTCAGATTTGCTCCTGTGTCCTTTCATCATGCTTCTCTGTATTTTTTTTGAACAATTCGTTTCTAGTGCCAGAAGATGTTTCAGGTTCATTTTGTATTTTATCTGCTCCAGCCCTGGTTCCATTTTTGGAGAACAGGGTGTTTTTTTTAAAAAAGGTCTGTGTTACTTGTTGTGCTCATTGCTACTTGGTGTCAGACAAAGCTAGGAAATATATATGTGTATGCTAGCACATGTATACATACATCTGTATTTCTTCAGCTATCCATCTGTATATATGTTAAAAACCATGAGTTCATACTAATACCAGCTGCCAACACCAGAGCCTTCCTTTTTCCTTATTGATGCTGTTCAGTCCTGGTACCCCATAAAGTTTCATAATAGCCAACTCATACCCCTGTGAGACATATATTTATTAGCCAGAGTACAATATTGTACATAGTATGTTAGCCATGACATACAGTCAAAATACTGTTTTCTGAAGTTATACATAGTGTATGTAATGGTTTTGTAATACAGTTGGGTTCTTTTGTTACTACAGTATTCTACTTCTTGTGCATCTACCCCCCACCCCCCAAACACACACACACACACACACACACACACACACACGTTGGTCTTCATTCTTTATTTTTTGTTTATGTGAAACATTATTCTAGTTCTAAAACTTGGAGCTATACAAAGACTATCATCCCTACTATCCTGTTCCTGGTTTTCCCTTCTTTTCCATCCTGTCCTCACCTCCTATAGATAGTCAATTCCATTACTTTCTGGATTATCCTTCCTGTATTTCTTTTGCACAAATTAGCAGATAAATACATATTTTCTTACATCCCCCTTTTTATAGGAAAGGTAATTATGGGTAAATATTTTTTAAAAGACTGATTTGAGATTGAGGTTTTTGTTTTGTTTTAGCAAAAGCGTTGCTTCTGTGGGTTTTAACAAATGACTTTATTATTTGTGTTTGTTTCTATTTGTAAAATAACCTCCCTCTTTTACCCTTTCCTTACTTTGTGGAAGAGCTGGGGGTAACGAGTGAAGGGCTAAGGCTTTCTCAGAAGAAAGGCATACTAAAAATGTAAGCTATTGATTTTTCTTTTAAAACAATCCTAGGTATAATCTTCCTACAGTTGAGTTGGTTAAGCAGGAGCAACTTTTTTTTCCTTGAAGTTTTGCAGCCACCAGGAACCAGATGAGTGAATGGTGCATTGGCCCGGTCAGGGTTTTGAGATAGAAAGTAGAGATAAAGCCCGGCCGGGCGTGCCTTAGTGGTTGAGCATCGACCTAGGATCCAGGAGATCACGGTTCGATTCCCAGTCATGCCTGGGTTGCGGGCTCTGCTCGATCCCCAGTCGGGGGCGTGCAGGAGGCAGCCTATCTGACTCTCTCATTATTGATGTTTCTATCTCTCGCCCTCTCCCTTCCTCTCTCTGAAATCAATAAAGATACAGTTAAAAAAAAAAAAATACTAGGTTTTAGTGGCCTTTGGACTTGCAACAGCCTTATCATGCTGATGGAGATTTTTTTAAGTGAATAATTCAAAGCCGTTTCCATATAAATGTATAGACTTTCCTTTAACCGCAGCACAACAGGCATAGGAAAGTGAGGCCCATACCCCACTCCAGTTTTACATAATCCTCCCTAAGGAACTTGGTGGAAGTTCCAGAGCATTCCACTCCCAGTTTAGCACGATTTCCTGGCCATGGTCCTGGTTCATGGAAATGACTGGTATACTATTTGTGGGCCAGCAATATTTTGGTGATTTTAAACAAGACTATGCTGAGTATCATTGAGTTGGGGAGCTTGAAACATGAAATAATTTATATAAAGTCTAAAACGAATTTGATATAGGAATAGAAGTTGAATTCTTTACATGCAGTTAGCCTTTTCTCTCCATTTTGATAATGTTTGTCAGAAAAGCAGTAACTAACTGAAACAGAACTGTTTTCTGAATAGACAAATGTGGTGCATTTAAGAAAGATAAACCCTGGCCAGGTAGCTCAGTTGGTTAGAGCATCGTCCTGATACGCCAAGGTTGTGGGTTTGATCCCCAATCAGGGCACATTCAAGAATCAACCAATTAATGCATAAATGAGTAGAACAACAAATAGATGTTTCTCTCTCTCTGTCTCTCTCTGTTCCTTCATCTCTCTAAAAAAAAATCAGTAAATGAAAATTGAAAAGGAAAGAAAATTATATTTTAAGCATTGACTGACCAAAGTAAAGATACATACACACATGTGTTGTAGGTAGGGTTTAATTTTATTGTGTGCTTTTAAGGTATGTACCTTTGGGTTTTTACCTTTTTACTTTCTCTACTTTTTGGTAAAATAAATCCAGTGGACATGGTTCTTAGACCCTAGAAAAATCTACCCCATAAAACCTTAATTTATTATCTAGTGTTTTATTAAGGGCTCTTTGTCACACTTAATTTGTCTGGCCAAGAGGGTGGAGTAATGAATCAAATGCCTGCCCTGTACGAATAACAAATTTGAATCTCATTGCTGTGTTAATAATTTTATTCCGTACAACACCCCTTTCAATGGGAGGGGATCACTCTAGTAACTTCCTGGGGCTCTGCTTCATGGGGATAAAAAGGGTAGGGGCAATGTTACAGAAGCACTCTATGCTATCACTATAGCTTTTTTACTTTTCTTTATGGCTGTGGGGTGCATGAACCCTCATGCATGTATCTGAATATCATGTAAAAGTAAAGAGAAGCTCTATATAACTCCTTTCTTGATGGGAGAGCCTTCGATTTTTTCAACCTTTTTAGTTTCCCTTTGGATGATAAATATCTCAGTCATGCTCTAGTTTCCTGAAAATACTAATGATATAAAATGCTGCAGTAGTAATGATTAAGCTTAAATTAGTGTGTGAATTTAATATTTGTGAAGTATTTGTTAATGTTCCCCTACCCTCTGTCTTTGTAGCCTTTTGGAAGTGTTCACTTTGTCTAAAGGCAGTGTGAATGCATTTCAGAAGCTCTAAATAAACTTACATATGTTTGTGAGTTGGTTTTTCTTTTCTAGATGGGACACTTTTGGAGGTTTGGGGTTAATATTTTAAGCTCTCTGCATTTGAAAATGAATGATGAATGCAGGTGCCCCAATGCCTTGCTTTTGGATCTCAGTGTGATTACAGGATATCCCAAGGTCTCTGAGCATATCCCTTTGGAACATTCAGTGTTTCCCTTTGTGGTGGGAACTGGAGTCCAGACACATTCCTTCTCTGACGTTCAAGCTCTTGATTGCTGTGTGCTTCTGTATCCTTGACAAACATTTCTGTGCTAAATAATATTTTGCCTTTTGACTTCAGTTTTAATTTGGAGGCTGAATTACCCCCAGGAAAGTTTGGGTTCCTTAAGAAAATTCATAGAATTCACATTGACGATCAATGGCATTTATATTTATATATTTATTTATACTTTTATATGTGTGTGTATGTGTATATATATATGTTGGCATGGAAAACAAGATAGGCTCTTAGCAGTAGTTATCTATAGGTAGTGAGAGTACTGGTGATTTGTGCTTTTTTTTCTTTAGACTTTTTATAAGAAAGACAAATTTGTTTGGAAATAAGACTTTATTAAAAGAATGGCAACATTTTGTCTTGGCAGGTGTCCTTGCAGTTAATTTCCTCCATCATTCTTACAAAATAAATCTTAATCAAATGGAGTCAGCCTATTACTTAAACAGGGGCCCATGTAGGTATATAAATCAGATCTGCCACGATTTAATACTAAAAGCTGTTATTTTCAGTGAATGTAAAATTGATAAATGTTTTTAAGGTCCATATACCAGCAAAAATTTCATAGTCACAGCATTTTCATGTTCAAAGGAAAATTCTTCATCTAAACCAGAACTTCTGAAATACAGGAAAGCTGTAACATGCCCAGAGTCACACATCTCCTAGTTAATGCCAACCCAAATCTTAACTCCTTTAGATTTTTCCAGTCTTCTACCATATTATTTGTTTGGGCTTTTGGGGGTTCCCCTGAATAGTAAATCCTCACTAGCATTACTCAGGAGGTTATTTGGGTTTATCTATTTTTTAATGTAAAAAAATTTATCTAAATATTAATAAAATTTCAGAATAGTTTTATCTCTATAACACTTTTTGTCTTGTCATCTTTAAATATTCTTCTGGCATAAAGAAAGAAATGACCTTTAGGATTATTTTTAATATTCTGACTTGGTTTGGTCACAGTTTATAACTATGCCTCAGATGTTGAACATTTTTATTATTAATATCAATTACAGTGACCACCTTTGTGTATAAGATTTTACGGGATGTGTTGGTTATTTCTTTTAAGATAGATTTTTAGTATTGAGTAAAATACTTTATCAGAGGAGATGAACATCTTTATAATTCTTGCTACTTAATGTCACATTACTTTCCAAGAGGAAATCAGTATAGCATTTAAGGCAATGAGTATGTGTGCCAGTTTACCATAATTTTGGCATCATTAACTAACGTAGTTGTTCAAAATGTTTGTGATACCTTAGTAGATGTACAGGGTATCTGAGAAGGAAGACAAGACAATTTCCCAGTGTTCGCTCATTGTAGTATACTGGTATGTCTTTCCTGTTTAGATGCTGCCTTTATCTAACTTTTTGGGTAATTTGTATTAAAACTTTTAAATTAGCTTCCCAATCTCATGTCCTTTCTTGATACTTGTCTATGACTGCTCTCAGGACTGCAGATCATTTGGGGTTTTTTTTTTCTCCTTTGGGTGAAAAGATCAAAAAGAAATTGGGCAGTATCTAATAGAATTTCAGCCTCAAAATATTGGCTTTGATATGCACTGGTAGCAGGACAACAACAACCCCCCAAACCCCAGTCATTTTGAGTGTAAGGTGAGAAGGAGCACAGCCATTCTGTGGTATTTCAGCAACTCCCAGAGCCGAGGGATTACTGCATCTATGGCTTTATTGCCTGTACTTCAAAGACCCATATGATTGACATCTCATGGTTGACCTTTATCCCTTTTAACACAGAAATATGTATGTGTTTTTAAACAAATTATGGTTTTCTGGAAACAGGCTTTCAGCAAACACTGTGAAGTGAAGCAGAATTAAGTACATTTAAATTTCCTCTTATTTGTTTTGATACTAAACATATACAATCCTTAGTTGAAGATTCTTGTTACTTACTATGTAATTGTTTTTGCTAAGTTTCTATTCCGTTGAATCATTTAGGTCATTTCCCTCTTAGTAGGCACTTACTGCTTTTAGTCTGCTAAATATTTTGGTTCCACACACCCCCTTCTCCCCAATGCAAAAGCTAATTGTTTTCTTTTTTTCTTCAGTCATACAAGTTTTGTTTTTCAAGTTGGTCATCAGAAATTTTAGGTATTTTATTTAAATGAAATGGTGGTATTTTTCATACTGGGTGCTTTGGTTAGATGTTGTTGATAGTATATTTTTCCTTTTCTTCTCCTTATTCAGACCGAGTCTGTTTCTCAGCCACTGGAAAACCATGGTGCCTCTGGTCATCCTGCAGAGTCATTATCTACCAAATCATATGGAGCATTGAGACCTGTCAATGGAGTTATTAACACGTAGGTTATCTCTTCCACTTCTTCTACTCAGTATGCTTGTAAAAGAGCTCTTCATTATTCCTAGCCAGCACTGACCCTGTTTTAAAGAAGCAGAAACCTCATCATTTAATAATATTGTGCATGTCTTCTACTGTAGCAAGTATAATTAGCAAGCTAATATATTTCTCATTTACGTACTGAGGCCTAAAATTGACTCATTGTGGGGAGAATGAAAGGTCCTACAATTACTGTGAATCATTGCAATTGGTAGTGTTGGTAGAATTCCTCAGAAGTGTTTGCATAAAATCCTCTAGAACAGATTAAATCCCTAAAGGCTGTATTTGTAAATCTGTATGTTTGAAAGTGCAAGGAATCCATCTACCAGTGAAAAATGTGTAACACCCCTAAAAGTCAAGTTTCGCAGGAGAGCTGATTCTTAGTTAGGCTGTCATTAATATTTGCAAAAGTATTTTTTTTTACCAGTTGCAATTTTCTAGACTTTCTTTATTCATGTTTCTTTTGTAGAAGAAAACTTGATCACTAGAGCCTGAGTTCATGTACTGACTTTTGTGCTTTTCAGACACAATAGAGGTAATGTCCACCAAGAGCCTTACAAATAAGTGCAGGCACTGCACACACAATTAGATTAGCATCAAGAGATCAACTCCTGCTCCACAGTACTTACGTGTGCCTGTAGACATTTGCAAGCAGAAGAGGTTGAACCAGTATTAGAGGCTTTGTTTCCTTGAGTCTTCTGAAAAGTAAATATTACTCCTTCCTCTCGTGCAGTCTTCAGCCTGTCTTGGCAGACCACATTCCAGGGGACAGCTCTGATGCTGAGGAACAATTACATAAAAAACAACGACTGAATCTAGTTTCTTCATCAACTGATGGCACCTGTGTGGCTGCCCGAACACGTCCCGTGCTGAGCTGTAAGAAACGGAGGCTTGTTCGACCCAACAGCATCGTTCCTCTTTCCAAGAAGGTCAGTACCAGTGAGACTTGGTCATTGTTAAACCTTGAGCCAGATGCTCAGATAGAGGTATTAGTCTTTTGCCAACTTTGGTTCATTTAACTAGTGTTTTCCAAACTTGGCAAACCACCAAGGTTTCCTGGGGAGCTTTAAAAAATACTAGGCTCCTTAACTCTATTTCCCAGAGATTCTGATTCACTTGCTGTGGGGTTGGGCCTAGAAATCTTGTTTTTAAAAAACAAAAAACTCCTAGGTGACTCTTCAGCCAGGTTTAGAAACCATTGGCTTGAGCTTTTTAATTGAAATGAGAGAGAGGAAGTTGAAATGCTGCCATCAACATTTTGAAGAACAGTGGTGTGCCTTCTCACTTGCACTGTTATCACTAAAAATGGCAATGTGGAATGCTTTTCTTTTAAATAAGAATTTCCATTAAAATTTCTAAATTGATGTTGCTAAATGAATAAATGTCTTCGCAGAGAAAATGGAGATTAATTCACAACTACAGGAAACTTGATTGCTGACTCTTCAAATGGCAGAGTTGGATTTATTCCAAAACTAGTGAAATAATACCCCGGTAAAATGAATGTCTTGTAATGGTTCAGAGCATTAACTTTGAAAGGATAAACTTGGGTTTGGATCATGGCACTGCTGCTCAGTAGTTTTGTGATTTGGAGCAAGCTAACAACCCAACACCCCACCCCTACTCCCAGCTTCTGAGATCTCATAGGGTGGTTTTGAGGATTCAGTGAAATGTATGTAACTTCCCTTATTGGGGTTCTGGCTCATAAGTGACTAGTATAACGTGGCTGTTATTTTTGTTTGTTCATTCACTCATCCAAAAATATTTATTGAGCTCCTACAGTAAGCTAGATGTAAATCCTTAATTTCATGAAAAAAAATAATAAATGAACTTTATGGTATGTTCTATAATGTTAAGTGCTGGGGAGGGAAAAAATGCAGCAGAGGAAAGGAATGAGGAGCATCTGATTGCTCAGATGGAATTAAGCCTTGAGCATTCCAAGGTTTGTAGATAAGAAAGATAAGAAAGAGACTAGGAGGAAGGAGTGGAGTAACTAGCAAAATAGAAGGAGAACTGTGGTGTGTGGAAGGTGAGTGAAGAAAGTGTTTCAGAGAGGAAGGAATGATCATCTGTTAGATGTTGCAGACAGCCAAGTTAGAAAAAGTTTGAGAATTGACCATTGGATTTTGTGGGGGCCAAGGTTGTTGGAGACCTTTATGAGCAGTTTTGTTAGAAGGAGAAGAGTAAAACTCTGATCGGAGTAGGTTCAGGAGAGAATGGGAGGGAAGGAATTGAGGAAACCATTATAGATAACACTATCAGAGAATGTTTCCGTAAAGGTGAGCAGAGAAGTAGCCTGTTTGAAGGGGAAATCTTGCTTAAAATAGAGGTGTTACCAATATATCTGCTGATGGGAAAAACTAATGACAGAGGAGAGGAAGGGAGAGGAGAGAATTGTTGGAACCATTATTTGGACAGTGGATTTTCAGTACTTGGCTTATTTTGTTAGAGTATGTACTTAGACTATATAATGTTGCCATTAAAAGACAATTGAGGCAAGGAGGAGACATACAGAGCAAACTAAAGATCTTTGATTCTAATACTAGTTTCTAAAACAAACATCCTGCCCTGGCTGCATAGCTCATTTGATTGGAGGGACATCCTGTACACCAAAAGCTTGTGGATTCCATTCCTGGTCAGGGCACATGTGTAGGTTGCAGATTTGTACGGGAGCCAACAGATGAATGGTTCTCTCACATTGATGTTTCTCTCTCTCTCCCTTGCTCCCTCTCTAGAATCAATAAACATATCATTGGGTAAGGATTAAAATAAATATAAAACAATTATCCTGGCATATGCAAAAGTAAGCTGCATGGAAAATAAGACAGCAATAAATTGATTTTGGGAAAGAAATCATTTGCTGGTTATAGCAAAAATACTGGAGTTCTGCCAAAGTTGGAGACAAAGGCCATTCTCTCTATCTTGGTTGTTTATGAATTTCAGTGATATTAGCTATTGAGCAAGCATCTTGCCTTCTGTCATCTTTATTTGTTAGATTTGGGTTGCTTTCCTGCATCATGATTTCATTGTAATATTAGCACAGATCATTACAAGTTGCCCATATTGCTATTTATTATGTATTTCATCACTTTAAGGGTCTAGTATGTTAGATGTTAGTAATTAGCTAAGCTAGTAAAGAGAAACACTCAAGTGGGAGGTTTTTATAATACATGTCATGTTTATTTCATGCCCTGCTGCTTCTGTAAGGTAGATGTTTATGACTTAATTGAAAACATTAGTTTCTAGATAGTGAGATTTTAGATCATTAAAATTTTAAAAAGAAATTTGGGACCAGTGTTGGGTTGCTTTTTATTTTGTGAAGTTCTATTATTTTGTGAAGTTCTAAATTAGGTAAATCATGGTACAGATGATATTTTATTTTTTATTATTTTTTAAATATATCTTTATTGATTTCAGAGAGAGGAAGGGAGGGTGGGAGAGAGAGAGATAGAAACATCAATGATGAGAGAGTCGTTGATCAGCTGCCTCCTGCACGCCCTCAGCAGGATCGAGCCCGCAACCTGGGCATGTGCCCTGACCGGAAATCGAACCACGATCTCCTCGATCCTAGGTCGATGGTCAACCGCTGAGCCATGCCTGGCAGGGCCAGGTGGTATTTTAAAAAAGAAAAAATAGTATGCCTTGAAATTTTGAGGTTGGACTTACAAGCACTTTTTAATTTTTTAAAAATAGCATTTCTTATCAAATGGTTTGGCAAAGTTCTGGCATGGCTTTCCTATTTTATAGTCTGTTGGAGGAGTATAATTATATAGGAGGATTGCTTTGGGATACATTTTCAAGTTAGCTTCTATAGAATCCCCAGTGGTCCTCCACTTTTTCTTCTTGTATCACAATTGAGGACATATAGGACATTTTCTTAAGGCCTAGTGCTATGATATTTGTGGTTGAGAACTAAAGAACCAAAATGATTATGAGTTAGTATTAAAAGGGAATAATTTGATATCAAGTGGGATGTGTACCTTATTGATAGAGGATTCTAGTGATAGACTTTGGAGGCCCAACTTTTTAGTTCTAGGCTTTTGGGAAGGAGCCAAGAGTACCATGTGGAAAATCGTAGTTCCTTAGGAATTAAAGCTACTGAGAATACTCAGAAATCACTCGGTGTTTAGAACACTAATCTCTAAACTTTTATGTGTTTTATATATGTGTTATAAAACACAAAATTTGAAAGGCTGAGATTAAATAAATAGAAACTCTAATGAACTGTCCTCAAGCCAAAAGAATTTTTAATGCTTTGAACTAGTATTTTGTGATTAACAGAGAATGATGAATAGAGCCTTACTTTGATAGAATTCTTTTATAAAGCATTGCATTGGATTTTTAATGGGAATTCCTTCAGAGAGAATTAATGTCATTACAATATTAAGGGAACATAAAATTTCTCCATGTATCCAGGTATTTTGTCTCTTTATTCTTACATATTCTCTATATTCTTGATATTTTTGTGATGTGAATGAGACCTTTTCTGTTAGTGTTATAAGTACTGATTTTTAGATATTTTGTAATTTTGAACACTTTTCTGAACTCTTAAAAGTGGTTATTTTTAATTTTCTAGGTATGCCATCTTTTATCAGCAAACAACTTGACACATTGTTTCTTTTCCTCGTCTAGATGCACTTTTCAGAAGTGTTAAGAAATAATTGGTTATAGTGAGGAATTTAATTCCTGGTTTTAATGACAATACTTTTAGATGTTCACTATTAATTTTGATGTAGGATAACTTATAAAAATGAATTGGAACACTATCCGGAAAAGTTTCAAGATTTTTGAGGAAGTATCAATTTCTTTAAAATTTGTTGGAACTTTAAAAGTAGTTAAAACCATTTGAGACTGGCATTATTTTACAGAAACCATTGCTCATATCTTTTCAGATTTACTCATACAGAATTTTATAGAAAGCATTCTTAATTGTTAAATACCTGTATCAGTGGTTATATCCATTTTTTTTAGTATTGATTATATCTGTGTTCTCTTTCTTGATTAATCTTGTCAGCAGTTTTTCTATTAGTAATTTCAAAGATTAGTCTTTTGCTGTTAATTCCTTCTTCCTGTGGCCCCCCCCCCTTTATTCAGATGGCTTTTTCTGTTCTTTGTTTTATAATAATAAAAACATTTAACTTTTTAAATTTTCTTCTGAGGGTAGTTTTGGATGGTAGTCCACAGCCCTTTGATGTGTGTGTTCCTTTTGCTATTTGTAGATTGCCTTTTGAGTTTTTGAATTCTTTTCTCAAAAGTTAGGAATTGAGTTTCCAAATTCTAAATGGTTTTTCTTTTTAAACCTTTTGTTATTAATTACTAATTTTCGTAGCATTTTGGTCAGTTACTTCTCAGCCTTTTGGCTAAGATAAAAGCGAATAGTATTTTGGTCAAAATGATGTTTTAATAGTTTCTGCTAATATTTGTCGTCCATTATGTTTTTTTAATTTTCATTTTCTAGTATAGAGTTCTATATAATTATATACTCATAGTGACCTATAGCTTCTTTTTCCAGTAGTTGTTTTTGTCTTTACATTCATTCAACTTTTTTTGATATTAATCTTATATAGTATATACATTTTTCTCATTCATTTACTTTTCAGGTTTTCTGTGTGTTTTTTGAACATACTCAGTTTTGAAACTAAATTTAAAGGCTTATTTTGACTGCAGTATTTTATTAGTTACTGACAGTCCTTTTTCTGCCTTCATGTGCCCATTTATTGAGTTGCTAATTTGGATTTTTAATTTTTCATGTTTCAAGTTCTCAGACCATAACCTTTGTTTGTGAAAACCCTGTTCCACTGCCTTTTGGTGGGGGAAGAGGGCAATTGTTTATTCTGTTTCGGCATAGAATTAGACTGATGTCAATTTTACTTTCATTCCTTTATATTGGTAATTGATTCTCCTCTGTGCTGTCCAATATGATAGCCACTAT